CGGTCATTGATCATAAATGGCTAATCGACTTGGGTTTTCTACTTTTCTTGTCGTCGCTAAAAACCGAGGTGTAATCTTACCACAATCACGATTTATGGACACTGTTTAGGCTGATGCTGACTCTTTTGTAACGGTGACGTGTATTTTATCACGCAAATGGTCTCTTGTTAATTTCAATTTATCTCGAATTATAGAATAGGGAATTGTTTGAGCAATAAAGATGGATTCAATTCATAGAATATTTAATAAATAATAAGGTTTGAATTTCATAAACAATCTTGTTAAATGTGTGATTTGCATGGAAACGAATAATCCAATCCCCTCATTAAATCTGTATAGATGATATTGTTACTCAATATTAACCCAACACAGCCAAGTCCATTATAGTAAATAAAAGAAGATGTTAGGTAACCCCACACACCCATCTCCTTCTAAGAAAGAAGTAAACAAAAGAAATAACGAAGTGAAGGTATTTTTATAATTAAGGGTGCTTGGAAAACGTACTATTATTATCCTAATCAAGTTACTTAAAAGAAAAATATGCCACCAACAATCAATTGATATAATGAGATGAGACACTATATCTTTTAAGCAAGGTCAAGGGTTCAAATTCTGACAAATCTGACATTTGCGAATAGGGCAAACTGAGTTGGAAGGGTTGCCCTTACTTCTGCAGTACCCGATCTAAATTAGTTGATTAATAAATCGGATATCAGTGATTAATTAAAAAAATTTGCCAAAAAGCGTCAAGTTGTAAAAGAAGGGTGGAATTTAGCTCGTGCTACATCAAAAGGTGCGGCGGCCGCATGGACATTAGTTTTGGGCGGTGAGGACATGGACAAAATGTATAACCCACCATCACTCCATTATATAGAATGTATGAACCCTTAAATGATTGTTCTTTGAATAATATTATTTCCCCCTTTTTTAAAGCTTTTCTTCCTTTTAAAATTAACCACGGCAAATAGATTTTTTCCTGAGTAAATAGTTTTGTCTACAGGGTTCATATAAAGTATATGCAACTGTTTTGCAATTTCTAGAATTAAAAAAAACGAAAAAGGCTACACCTCTTTCTCAGTCATTATACTCAATTAATCTAATGGTTATAGCACCAATGTTAATGGTTTGGAATTTTGGGAGGAGTTTAGAGGTTAGAGTTTTCGCATCATGACTAGTTCATTTGGTTATAAGTTAGTCCTTTATCATTGCACTAATGCTGATAAACAATGGGTGAGACCGTGGTTACAATGCTTGGTGTAGTAAAACATATACAATAATCATCGAATAATGAAAAAACATAATCGTAAATGCTAAAATCCTCCGATTAGTAGTGTTTAAGGGCGGAGAGAGATCCATGACTATGCCTTCTGCGTGTCATGTTTCTGATAATGAACTTTGAAGCCGACACTAATCATTACTTGAAGCTTACATCAATTACTAGAAATACTCGAGCTTCGAGGAACATGGAGAAGCTCTTGAGCCGCTTCTGCATGCCTATAATTCGGCATCCAGAAAGTTGCTGCTTGTTCTTGTCAATGTGGGGATTAGTTTGCTGTAGTCTTTCCCACTGCAAGAAAAATATTGTTTTAGGCCATGCATTTACGATTGGTGCAATAATTCGAATACACCATTAGTATTTTATTTTACGAAATATTTGGTCGGCTGTTACCTTTTCTGATGAAATAATATTTGCAGTGAAATTCCGACAATATATTTGCAAGACCAATAACTCACTGTGTTTTATTTGGTAAGACGTAGTATTATTTTTATTGGATTTGGTCATAAAAGTTCTACTAAGAGGCCGGATCCAATACTAATCGGAAAGGCCCGATTTTCATTCCTTAGACCTAATAGAGATGTATATATTTTTATGTTTTTATTAATTGTGCAACTTTAAATATAATATAAATAATGGAATAAAAATATATAATATATATTTTTATTAATCTAGGGTGATTATAAGGTATTATATATTTTAAAAATTCACAATCATTTGACAATGAAAGTTCAAACACCCTTCTCGTCTCTAGTTATCTGTTTTCACTGGAAAATATAATCAGTCATGATCTATGGATCATGGAGTCTACTATTTAATGTATGAATAGATTATTGTGATATTGCCTGGGTAGGATTCTGGAGTATGGAGATTCAACTCTGATCAAACTGGTAATTTCGTATACACTTAAGATGACCCTTGGGTAGGCTATGAGGTCTAAAGGCATTTCCTTGGGTAGGCTATCTCTTGGGTAGGCTCTCAAGCCCCAATATACTCCCTTTGGTTTGCTCCTACGCCCAATTTGCCTAGGATAAATCCTTATGGATGCAGTTCTGGGGAACTGCATATCGGTGTTCGGTTAGATGATATTACCTCTTGAATATGTCTCTTTAAATATTTCCTTCGGATTTTGATTTCTTGACTGTTACCTGAAGAAATAATTAATAAAATCTGAGCTCGTTGCTAGAAGTCGATGATGTCTGTATCGTTAAGAAAATTTATGATTTACCTTATACCCGATAACCTATTGCATTAATCTGGTAATTATGTATTACTGAGCTTCCAAAAACTCACTCTGTTACTTACTATTTCAGGTTAAGAGTTTTATCCTATGCTTTTATCGACATCAGTAAAAGAGTTCCACCGACGTTGCTTGCGGAATACAGTGCATGTAATTAGGGGCATGTAGATTGTATTATGTTTTTATATTTCATCTGAAACTTGTTTTATTATTGGATATTGTTGAATTATATTTTTAATATATAAATTATTTTATGAACTTGTATTTTATCTATAAATTATTTTATAAATTTATATGGATTAAAAAAAAACTTTTTTTCCAGGATTTTTAATGTAGATCGTTTCGTTGGTACTAATGTGACACATTATTACGAGTGTGTTACATGCCATAATAGTAATACCCTCTCCTCTCTCAACAAATGGACTGTTTGATTCAGTGAAGTGAACAATGCCCAATCCAGTCACTCATTCTTGTCTATTCATCCACTTGTTGGAAATCAATTAATTTATTTTACATGTTTTTCATTACATTACATCAAATATAAGTGTTTAATATTTTTATAATTATTTAATTAGAAGAAAGAAAGGAAATTTCCTTCAAATTTTCTTGCATTATCACAATTTCTCAAACCAACAATTATCTTACAAAGTATTTTACATTTTCCAATAAAAATATTATATCATATATCAACTTTGACAATTTTAAATTATCATAAATCATTAAAATCATAGATTTCACGATCTAAAATAAACCCCCAATAGAATTCAGGTTAAATCTAACGAACAATCCTCTTGGACTCTCTAATATAATCTCTATAGACTATAAACATAATCATTTGTCTAACAAAATAATGTTTGGCTCTATAATCACCTAATGAAAACAATTTTACATCTCATCATGATGTTTACTTAAACTGATATTGTCATCATCTTTACCTCAAATCGTTCAATCTCTTTTCATAATGCCACTTTATAATATGGACTTAAGCTATATAAAGACTCAACTAAGGAAATAAGAGATATTATTTTAGTGCTCATAACCCAAGTCATTCTTGTAGACTCTCTCTAAGGTGGCGTTTGATTCGTTGAAATCCCTTGGAATTAGGGGGAATTGGAATCCAATTCCACCACTTTCCCATGTTTAGTTCAAGTTTTCAAAGGGTGAATTGAAATCCAATTCCATCAAAGGAGAGAAAGTAAATTACATCTATAACATGATGGAATTGAAATCATTTGGAGGAGGGAATGTGAAATTTGACCATACTACCCTCATCAATCTTTTGGTATTCGGGTTGGATTTTTTTAAAAAAAAAATTGGGTTCGGGTCGGGTCGAGTTTTTTTAAGTGCGATATTCGGGTCGGGTCGGGTTTTTTAAGTGTGATATTCGGGTCGGGTTTAGGGTGAAAAATACCCGACCCGACCCAAAAAAATATATAATTTTACCTTATATATTTAGGAATAATTACAATAATACCCCTATATATAATTTTTTCAATTAAGTCATTGTTTTTATTGAATAAAAATAATTTTTTTTATTATTTCGGGTCGGGTTTCTAATTTATATATTCGGGTCGGGTCGGGTGAAACTTTATTTTGGTCAGGTCTCGGGTGGAGGTTCCCTTGTTCTCGGGTCAGGTCGGGTGGACCAAAAACCCGACCCAACCCGACCCATGACCATTCCTAATTGGGATGATTTTAACTTATGATGTTTATTAGTATGATTTTTATAATTTATTGAAATGAATAATCAATCAATAAAATGAAAATTTAATATTTTTAAAATTTTTATAATATATTGCTACATGTAAGTTATAAAACAAACTAAAATTAAACAAAAAAAAGAAGGACAATCCTGTCATTTTACATTACTGAAATCAAATTCATCTGACATGTCTGCGAATCAAACAAAATATGGAATTTGATTCCAATTCAATTTCCTGCCAACCAAACAAGTTTCTGATTCAGATTTCAATTCCTACATATTCTAATTCAAACATTCCAACGAATCAAACGCCACCTAAGATAATTTTTATACCCTATATAGGTCTAATCACTTGTTTGATAAAATTGTCTTTGACTTTATTATCTTATAAGAAAAATAATTTTACATTTTATTTCAACGTTAAGTTATTTAGGTTATTTCATCATCTTACTTATTTTGAAAAGTTAATTTTTTTTATCACGTAATATTTTATGATATTAATTTAGACATTTTTGCTATGCTTTAACGAAATAAATCATCATAAATAAAGATAACATATTTTTAGAAGAATTTCATAAAATAAAACTTGCGCTAATATATATATATATATATATATATTCATGTTATAAAATAAAGTTAAAGGAGGACAGGAACAAAATGAATGAGAAATAGAGAGAAAATTTTGTATTTTTTTAGGTGAATGTAAATTATATCAAATGATCTCTTTAAACTTTATATTTATAGAAATAAAGAGTATATATCGCATAGAATTCTTTTCTTAATAAACATAAAATTATCGTAATTCATACATAAATTAAAAAAAAAAACATAACAAAACAAAAAATGGGCAATAATTGCTAGCCAGAAGGATAGTTCAGTTCCTAAAATCCCTCTAAATTGGAAGCATTGTTGATGATCTATTTATAATAATGGTAAGGAGAGGTAGCTTGGATTCGCATCTTCCGTTTTTGGAGGAACCTTTGAAGTGATCTCTTCATGGCAAGCGCCGTGCTTGGGCTATTTACCGGAGATTTTAACGTGGGCGACGACGGAGTTTTTATTGGTTCATCCCTTTCCCGGTTTGCTAGCATTATAATGGCTCTTGCCTGCAATTCCATGTGCAAATTTTCATCAACAACAGATCTAAAAACAATGGAACACTTAAGTGAATAAATAAGCAATGATCCTTTCATTGAACAAACAAATTAGATTTCCGCATGCACTTAACAAACTTTATAGAGTTTGTGGAGTAAAACCAAATACTCACATGAAGCTCTGTAACATAAAAAACGCGAACTCTTCCATTGTGAAAAATTGTTAGCTGTTGCTGATGGTTTTCTGGGCTATTGCTGCTGTCTTCCATCCTTCGATCACCAAAAGAGAACACCCATCAGTTATACTATTCATTTCTCTCAATACTAATCAATGTTTATGCGAAAAAAATGCCTGCAATTACATGCATACATATATATAAATATAAAAGAAAAAGTGAAGAAGTCCATACATGTCATGGCTGTCATCAGAAGGAAGAAGGCGAAGTTCCAAGTTGCAGTTTCGTGTCATGTTGAGATATATAAATAAACGCTTGTTTCAAACAAAGCGCGCGACTGAGAGAGGAAAAGGAAGATGAGAAAGTGGTGGTGGTTTTGGCGAATATGAAGAAACGGAAAATTCAAAGAGAAGAAGAAAATGATAACATGGAGGGGGGAAATGGTGATCTCTCTATCTGTATGAATATATATATATATATATATATATATATATGAAGGTGTGTGAAGGGTTGGAGGTGTGTGGTGGTGGTAACAGCTGTTTTGAAAGCCATGTTAAACACGCTCTGCACAAAAGCCAGACACACAACATGACTAAGAACATCTGTTAAAAATAGCTCTCGATATTTTTCTTCTTAATTTAAGCACGTTTTATTTCCTGACTTCCTTTCTTTAGAGTCGGCATTACTTTCTCCCTTTTTTTTCATGAAAATTAAATAGTGTTGGGGCGTCGACTATGGATTTTTCTTATTACAACAATAGGATTAAAGGGCTATTTTTTCAATTAAAAAAAACCCTCATGGGGCTTTATGAAAGAAGGAAGTGATGTTTGATTCTTTTGAAAGTGATGTATCTTTCTATTAAATGACACAGAAAAATATCTTGAATTATTAATTTTCTTTAGATAAAACGGACAATAAGGTGGACAATGCTTCTAATTAATTATTTTTTATTAATTATATTGAATTATTATCATTATTATTATAAGGGCATGTGCCACCGGCTACTCATAATTAATTATCTTTTTATTAATTATCATGAATAATTTTATTTTAAACTATTTGTTCTCACATGAACCAAATGACCTCAATTATTAAGGGATTATTGTCATTTATTAAGGTTTCGAGTTCAAGCATTACGTATGCAATGTATGAACGTTTATTGTTAAATGATTGAGAGTATTTGAATATATACTACTTTGCATTTACTCATAATTATATAAAAAAATTGTCCTCGACCACAAAATGGTTTCACTGCCGAAATCTGATAAATTTACTATGGTATAATTTTCCTCAATCTTTTATCGCAAAGAAGCATATATAAATGTGATGCAATTGCAAGATTTCTATATCACACATTTCTATAACTCACAAGTGGCATGTGAGGAAAAATAAAATAAAATAAAAACATGTGATCACATTTATAACATCAAATGAAATGGGTTAGGTTGCAATTAGGAAAGTCTTGACTTTTAACCACATAATGTGCGTGTACAAGTCTAACGCTAAAGTTAGACAATGGTTTCGAGCATCAGCTGCAATTAGGGCTGTGGGAAAAAATCACATTTCAATTCGTTTATCTAATGATATGGTTAAAAAATTTAGATATTTGATTTACTTTTTTAAATTTTTGAATAATTTAAATCAGGTATTGAAGAAAATAAATAAATAATCAAATTGGATACAAATCAGATTAATTATGATTTCAAATTATTCAAAAATCCTAAAAAAATAGACTTTTAGACAAGATTTAAATAAAAACAAATACAAGATGAATATAACGTACATGCAAATTATTATACATGTTGTCATGTTAACCACGTTAAAAATATAATATTTTAATTAGCATTTTTTATTGAAAAATAATACAAAGTCATCGTTGAGTCAATGGTATGCATGCTGGACAGTGGACAGACTGGATTAAAACATAGTTTTAACATAAAGTTTAAGTAATAAACTTCACAGCTATTGTAATTAGCCAGTTAAGGTCTTCAAGGCAAGATCTCTCCACCTTTAAATTGCCCTAGTTCATGACAATTAATTACCATAATGCAATATCCAACACTGGTCTTGAATAGAACATTATTTCTTCTTTTGTTTGGCATGCAAGCTCAATATTGATTGTAGTATTCATGACCATGGCCACTTAGCATCTCTCCATACAAAATATCGTTCCCCGTGGTATCTCTCAACCTCGGTTACCAAATCACTCCCTCCAACCTGCATGTGTTCGTCTTTGTTCGATCTCAATACTGGACATCATTGCAGTTTTCTATCACGATTCGAAGCATCCTCCCTGTATGACGGATTTGTGTACCTTGGGTGTTGTATGAATGACACATTTTTCCACCATAGCTTCAGAGCCTGAAAAAACATAGCAATTGAGAATCATGAACACACTGATTAAATTGTAAACTGTAAAATATCCGGGAAATGCATTCTAGTCAAGTCCAGGACTCTGGCAGGTTGAACGGGTTGACATTGGGGACATTCCTAATGGCAACAGTTAAGACCAATGGTCACTCAGCCTCTGGGGTATAAATATAAAACAGAGCACGGTTGAAAAGTAATAAACTAATCTTGAATTTCTAAGTGCTCCCGTGTTTGTAATGATGAATGGTGAAAAACATTGAGAGTGAAACTTATGTTACAGGCACCTAAATGCATAGTAGTTCCCACTCAAGTTGCAATGAAGGTGATAGGCCTTGAGGTAAGTCCACATATATTTACACTTGAATAGCCTAGTTGCTCAAGAAACGTTATTAGTTAGAGTTTAAATAAACAACTTAATTTGCTTTAGAAAAACAGCTTTCTCTCTTTATACCTTATTTTCATTAAAAATATGTCTTTTCTTCTTTATTGTTAAATTACCCAAACAATACCCAAGAATTCTACTGAACCTTCACAATGTAATCTAAAAGACTACAATTAACTTCCACTATTCCTTCTACTCTTTGTGATATCTGCAAAGTTTGTTGTCCTTACCATACAGCTAACACCAAGGTTACTGGCCACAAGCAGGCAAATGGGTATTCTAATTCTCTATTTCAGTAATATTCTATAAAAATATATGGCAAAATTTGTTATCAACATTATAAAAACCAAGGTAGAGGTCCAAAGCAGGCAATCTCATACGCATGCATATTCAATGACGTTTTATTTAAAAGTAAAACGAAGATGTTCACACGACTGAAACTCAACTACCCTGTAAAATTCACTAGAACGATTTTAGAGTATTAGTAGGTCTCAGGGTTGATAATAGAAACAGAGAAAAATAAAAGTGGGTAAAAAAGGTTTTCACACTAAAAAATGCTTTTCTATTTGCATAATCACCCGAAGGCAGAAGCAGAAGAGAAATGATAGAGTTCATATTATGAGATCAAGAGTCAAACCCATACCAATGCTGAGCACTTTTTTGTTCAACTTACATGCCATTATATCCACAGGGCAACCTTATGAGGCATCAACCATAAAAATAGTGCATGATCATGCACTGATTCCGGGGAGATTCTTTTGGCTTTCAAGGTGGCCAGAAAATAATCACCAAGCTCAGGGTGTTGAACAGAAATTGTAACTAGTAAATTTTGATCAGGAGCATTTGCTTTAAGGCTCCAACTCCCGAGCATATCCTGCACATTTCCCCCCCCCCCCCCAAAGATGCTTACATGGTTAGAGTAAATACAGTTCTTGATAAAACAAAGGTTGAAGCAAGCATTCCTCAAATGTTGCCTGATAGAACCAATGTCCTGAATGAATATTTAGATCAAATAAACCAATTCATCTACACCAGTTAATCGTCATATTCATGCTGGCGTAAAAGTATAGAGGAATTTGGCACAAGTTTTTATAAATCCAATAATGAAAACAACTGAAGTCGTTATGTGATGCAAGCCTTAGCAAACCCGAATTCTTAAGAGGATGTGGATATATAATTACATAACACTGCAAACTCGTGAAATGGATAAAACTAATGAATAATTTACAGAGGGCGTACCATGAAAGGGCTGACATGCAATGGTTTTGCCACTAAATCAGAATTTGGGTCAAAAACAAATAATACTCTTTCGCCCCAGGGTGTATTAGTCACCTAAAACAGTAAATCAAAAGAGATGTCAGCAATCAAAAGTAGATTTTGATATCGAAAGCATTAAAAATATGGAAATTTTAGCATCTCCAGGCATGCAAAACATTGGTAAAACTTTAATGAGTTTTATAACAAAATTATACTAAACTGCTATTTGAGCTTGGTAAAATTTTCCCATTTGGAGCAAATTTAATAAAGAAAATACAAACCTCAGCTATGCATTTCTTCAGAAGCTTAGTGTTTCCCTCCAAATCATAGCAATAATATATGCTCAATGGATTCTGTTCGTACCCCACGCTTGGAGGAATTGTTAGCAGAAAACTGTCACAATAATTACATCAAAATAAAACAGGTGAGATAAAACTTAAAAAAACGAAGAAAGAGTCGACAAAAGAGGGGGTAAGAAACTTCAGGAACTTACACAGGGCCGTCAGTTTTGGTAAACCTACGAACCTCGTCGGCGGAGAGGTGATCGGGTGGCGTGTTGGGAGCGTGATCGAGGTCGAAAAGAGCGTAGCGGACGGAGTACCGGAAAGAATGGCGGACGGGGCGGCGACGCTCGTGCCATACGATACCTTCGTAGAGAGAAACGGCTTCAATTTGGATGGTGGAGAGTGAAGGAGGAGGATGACGGTGGCGCGTGAGGAGGAAGCGGAAGGGCAGAAGGAGAGAGAAAGCGAGGGAAGTGAAAAATGTGGATAGGATTGAGGATTGAGCATAAGAGATACAAGACTTCCATTTCCCCGTGAAGCAGCAATGTTACATGTGCCTCGTGGGTTGACCTGGTTGGTGTTTTACCATTGTTTTCAGACTGCTTTATATTTGCTAAAGTCACATTCAGTTTTAAAATCGATTAGAATTAAATCATTTTACTTTTTAGAAGGTTAATTTATTCAATTTAAAATTAAAATAAATATAAACTATGTTTTTACTTAATATTTACGTCAAATAAATTTTATTTTATTTTTTTATATTCCCTTGCAATTTGATGTATATAATCCTTATCCGAAAACAATAAAAAGCAATTTGTATAGACTTAAAATCCACGCAATTCATGAATGCTGGATTTTAGGACATCATATGACTAAAAAATTATGTTCAGAAAATAAAGAATTATGTAATGTGAAATGAAAAATAGAGAATGATGTAATTAGTCATATTTTTTTTTAGTACCAAGATAAGTGCCCAAATTATATATTTTTTCTCAAATAGGTGCTTATAATAATTTTTTGACCATCCGAGTGCTTAACGTTAGAAATATGGTTAGGTGTCCGTAACGTAATAACCGTTAGTTTTCTTTGTTAAGTAACGCATGTCATAATCTGATAATCTTGAAATTTATTTTTTAAAATATATTAAAATTATTATTATATTTATAAAAAAACTCTAATTTCTTTTAAATTACAAAAAATCCTCAAGATCCTTAAATCCTAACACAAACATGTCATCGTCACCCTTTTCGGCCATAACCAATGCCGTCGACGTAGTCTCTGTCGTCATCTTAGTTATAAGTCACCGTAATTTTCATCAATTGGCCGTTAGAATCGTGTGAGATTGCGATTTTCATCCTCGGGTTCGCGAGGTATAAAACGTCAATTCACCATCGATCGATCACGATTTCATAGGTGTTTTGTTCACTAGGGGATGTGAGGTCAGGTGGAGCTTTTTCGACGGCAAAGGGCGACGGTTGGTGTGAGATTAGGGGTTGAAATGAAGGTTTTCAAAATTTTGAGATTATTTTGAAATTTATGTGTTTTCTTTTTAAAAAATATATGATTTTATTTTTAAATTTTATATAATTTTTTAAATTTATCAGTGACACATGTTACTTGACGAAGGAAATCAACGCCGTTGACGACCCGAACACTTAAAATGATAACGTTTGTAACATTAGATACTTATATGGTCAAAAAAATACATAGGCATCTATTCAGGAAAAAATATATAATTTGGGCGCTTATTTGGGTATTAACCCCTTTTTTATAAAATTATCTCTTAGTTTAATCAGTGAAATACAATAATGAGCAGCAGTTGGTGCCCTACTGCCCTTACCCTTCCCAACTTCATTAACGTGCAGCTCGGGTAGGTCACCAACGATAACATAATCATATGCAACTCCCGCTTGTCCTCTATCTTACACCCACATTTCCATCTAATCAAAACTCTTGTGCACACGTGTCAAGAATCCATTCGCAGAACCAAACGACGGCGTTTATCACGCAGTTGGCCAGCTGCTCGCTCTCTTTTGATTCGCTTTAGGCAATTCGAACAAATCGCCCAACTTAAACAATAAAATAAAAGACCCTCAAATTCTCCGCCCATTTCCTTTTCATTTTTCACGTATATATTTCGGTCTTCCTCTTACTAATTCATTTGCAGTTCCATTTCATTCGATTTTTTCGCGTCTGCAAAACCAATGGCTGCTATATTCCAAGGAGTTGGAGCTGCTGAAGCTTTATCATCTTCGCCGTTCAATTCTTTCGATTCCAATAAATCCATTTTCTCTCCTCGTAGATCCTTCTCTGGTAAGCTACTCTTTGGATTTTCTTCGATTTTCTTTTTATTTCATTTTTTTTTACTTTTTTTTTGCTCTCAATTTGATTTTGTGCAGTGAGGAAAGGAGCAAGCTTTGCGGTGGTCAGATCTGATGGAACCGTGAATCTAAACCTTAAGGGTCGAAGGGCTCAACAATTGATTTCCAATGCAGTTGCAGTAAGTGGAATCTTGAAGTTCAATTATTTATTTATTTTGTGTTGCTAATGTAATTTATATTTTATTTAGACCAAAGCTGATAGCGCCGCTGCTTCTTCATCTTCGAAACCAGGGTATGATTCTATTTCTGATTCTGGTTTAACTTGCGAATTAGTGTTACATTGTAGTCAGTTGCTCAATTTTTGTTAAATACGAGTTCTATGAAAGCGAAGAGCAAGTATTCATGCCTTTTGTTTCTCGTGCAAAAATGAAAGATATGGATTTTAGTACTACATTAATTAGCATTATTGGAGAATGCATTCTAACTTTTCCACCTAATGACATTCCTGTAAGATAACATTGAATTATTTCCTTCTTTTGTTGTTCTTGTAGTCTTATTTTGGAATTTAATGTATTTTGGCTTTCTATTCAGATTTATCCGTTCCTGGCAATTTGACTGAACAAGTGAATATGGCTTTTGCTTTTGTTTGGTGACATTTTTCCCATTTATGACATTTTAAATATAAAAGAAGTACCATTGATACCATAATTTATAGGGTGAACCATGCTTCTGGTGTGTGTAGATAATTTTCTGTTTGAGATGCCCGTGTAACAAAGTACTTCATAGTATGGTGTGAGGTCCAGGCATTTGGCAGTTGGTACCATTCACATCTTTCTAAAATCAGTGTGGTTTTGCACAAGATGACAAAGCATCGTTTTTTTTCCTTTGCAATTCATGCAGCTGTTAGTGCTACGATTGAGTCATTTCAATCTGTCAACTGGATGTTGTGGACATGTATGTCGGATGGTATATAAAAAGGTTGTCACTTGAGTCCTGGGTGTTATTCATGCGTGCATCTATGTATGTATGTGAATAAGTTTTTTGGTGTGATAGTATAAATATTCTGTGTTTCTGTGTGTTGCAATGGAGTTGCATTGCATTTTCAAATTTTTACAGTCATACTGGTTATCACAATCTTGTCTATTGATTTGCTTTCTCGTGGACAAATGTTAACAGCATCATGTCAGTATCTTTTATCAGTGATATATTTAAATAGATATATATTGTATTCCAGGCATGAGCTTTTACTTTTTGAAGCTCTGCAAGAGGGTTTAGAAGAAGAAATGGATAGGGATCCCCATGTATGTGTCATGGGTGAAGATGTGGGTCACTATGGAGGCTCATACAAAGTGACCAAAGGACTGGCTAAAAAATTTGGGGACCTTAGGGTTCTTGATACCCCAATTGCTGAGAATTCCTTCACTGGCATGGGAATTGGAGCTGCTATGACTGGTTTGAGACCAGTTATTGAGGGCATGAACATGGGATTTCTCCTCCTTGCTTTTAATCAGATCTCCAACAACTGTGGTATGCTTCATTATACATCTGGTGGCCAATTTACTATACCAATAGTCATTCGTGGGCCTGGTGGTGTTGGACGTCAACTAGGGGCTGAGCACTCTCAACGTCTTGAATCATACTTTCAGTCGATACCTGGAATCCAAATGGTTGCGTGCTCAACCCCTTACAATGCCAAGGGCTTAATGAAGGCTGCAATCAGAAGTGAGAACCCTGTTATCCTTTTTGAACATGTTTTACTTTACAACCTCAAGGAGAGAATACCAGATGAGGATTACATCTGTAATCTTGAGGAAGCTGAGATGGTGAGGCCTGGAGAACATGTCACCATTCTAACCTATTCAAGGATGAGATATCATGTGATGCAGGCGGCTAAAACTTTGGTGAACAAGGGATATGATCCCGAAGTAATTGATATTAGGTCTTTGAAACCATTTGATCTTTACACTATCGGGAACTCTGTTAAGAAAACTCATCGTGTTCTTATTGTGGAGGAGTGCATGCGGACTGGTGGTATTGGTGCTAGTCTGACGGCTGCCATTACTGAGAATTTCAATGATTATTTGGATGCTCCAATTATGTGCTTATCTTCACAGGATGTGCCAACACCATACGCCGGAACACTGGAGGAAGTAACTGTTGTTCAGCCTCCCCAGATTGTGACAGCCGTTGAGCAGCTCTGCCAGTAGTTGCAAATTCACTATGGCAGAAAGCCAGAAATATTGATGCATAGTTGATGTTCCGTTAGTCTTGTGATATCTTGAAACCAGTTCTCTGGAAACTTTGTTTTCAATATCTAATGTCTGTTGGTTACCATTTTTGTGTCAATTTAAAACCTGCAAGTGTGTGTCAATTTAAAACCTGCAAGTGTGTGTCAATTTAAAACCTGCAAGTGTTTGTCAATTTAAGGCATTCAGTTTGATCTGGTGCTTTCTTGGCTGAAATGGAAAATAATTTCTTCTTCAACCAATGTGACAAGTGGTACTGGAAAGTAACTCTGTAGGCCTGTAAACGAACCGAACGCACATGAACGGAGGTATGTTCATGTTCGTTCATTTAATAAATAAACGAACATAAACGAACACGAACATAAACGAACAAATTTTTTTTTGTTCATGTTCGTTTATTAAGGAATATAACTTGTTCATGTTCGTTCATTTAATAAATAAACGAACATAAACGAACACGAACATAAACGAACATGAACATAAATGAACACGAACATAAACAAACATCAACGTTGGAGACCCTACCTTCCATTGTTCTTTCATGAAAAATAGTCGACAATGCAAATCAACCAAATCTACAATGATAAATAGCGTAAGAACTGATTAACAGTGATGAAATGTTTGAAGATATCAAATATTTCGATCGATCTTTTAAAAATATTAAATGATTCACACGATTTTAATTTAACGCTATAACATTTATCTTAGTGGTCCATGATTACATATGAACAATCATTTTCCACTACGTTATTCTAATAAATTTGCCAGCTAAAAGTTTTGTGACATTAATGTCAGAATTTAGTGAGGTTTGTTAATAATGGTCATTTCCGTTGGCAGAGTAGAAAATTTAACAGCATGAAGATTTCGAACGGAACAAATTGGACTACAAGACAATAACATAGATCCGAAATCCCTTCGATGCTACATATCGTAACTGATATTATTTCTAAACCACCATTCAAAATTTTAGCGTACCTAAAGTGTACTCCACAACTAAATGTCACACAAGAACTATGAAAACAAAAGTTCATTGTCAAAGTGTATTTTCTACTTATTAATGGGTTCTTCCTGTAAAACCCATTACTTCCGCTATTACACTCTTTTTCAGAAATTGCATAGAAACTTTTGTTTTGTTTTCTGGCAAATTCTATATATTTTTCTCTTTACTGATGCTCATATACTTCCGATTGTTACCTTTATCTTCCCATCTATTTCTAGAAAGAATTATGATATTTTCTTGAGTTTTAGATGTAATGATACCTGCAATAACTTTACATATCAACTATTAAACCAAATAAAACAGAGAAAGAGATGAAAACAAACCTGTAAAACTTCAGATTGCATTATAATATAAATTGTTTTGAAGCTTTCAGCGATCGTTTCCAAATAAATTGGGTTAATTATAGAGTTGGTCATCAGAATATCAGATTAATTAATATTTTTAAGATACTTACAAATTGGTCACCAAAATTGATTTAAGAAGATTGGGTTAAACATAAATGAAAGAACATAAACGAACATAATCGAACGAATATAAACGAACATAGCCGAACGAACATAACCGAACGTTCACGAACGTAAATGAACGAACGAGACCAATGTTCATGTTCGTTCATTTAATTAAACGAACACAAAATCTTGTTCATGTTCGTTCATTTAATAAATAAACGCACATAAACGAACTTCCCGCCGCACGGTTCATGAACGGTTCGCTGAACGTTCAGTTCATTTACAAGCCTATAACTCTGTGCTCCACTTAGTTGCTCTGTCACACAACTAGCCAGTAAACACTTGTTAAATAAACCAGTGTAATCTATTTTGTCTAATTTTTCATTATGATTGTGGTAATGGAAATAATCCCATTTCTTTATACCTTCTAATTGTCTTTAAATTTTCTGTTTATTTATTTAAGAACCCCTCGCTTCTGTAAAATGAAATCCAAATCTAATTGTTTGTCGACTTAACATTTCTTTTCGATTAATTACATTAAGCTACCTTTGAATTTGTTTCATTTGCACTTGATTTGCTGATTGTCTTCTGCAAAAGTTTGTTCTTATATGATCATAACAGCAAAGACTTGTTGATTTATCGTAATCGTCATATAAAGGAAAAACATTAACAAAATTTGGCATGCTTTGAATTGAAGATAACTTTCTCAAATCTGATATCCAAATTTACCAATGACCTTTCCTAGGGGGTCCTGGTAATTTATCTGAAACCGTGAGCTTGGTCTGTAACTTGAGTAAACCGTAAACAAATAAGGGGAACTATGGTGGCTATTTTGTGGGTCTGACTCGATTATGTTGGGCCTTGAACATATTGTAAGTTGCATGAACCCCATTGTTTGATGCAGTGGTCAAGGTGATTCACCTCTCAACCCACGTGTTGGGTTTGAACTGTAGGAATTGTCTGCTTGTGTGGCAACGATTTGCTCCAAGAAAAATTGAAAGCTGTATGCCCTGTCTTTGGGATTACTTTTATACGGTAAAGTATGCCTGTCGTGGCCATCCCATTGCCACAGAAGCTGGACTATTTTTTGTTTTTGTTTTCCATTGGTCGAGATCTTTAGTTGTCCAGTGGAATGCATGTGAGTGGGCTAGTGGATTTCTGCTAAGCATGTGAATGTTTCATACCCTGGAAAGGCTTTTGCAGAGGAAATGTAATATCCAAGGAATTATGCCACAATGAAATAGCGTGGGAACTTTGAAAGCTAGTATATAGGCTATTTGCATGAAAAACAATGTTTTTCAGTAAGGTTGCTGATACATGCATAAAAATCCACATCTTTTCCTTGATTTGCATCCAAATCTACCCATGTTGAAGACAAGAAGAATCAAATTACATATACACTATATTTCCTTGTGAGATAAGCCATGTTTTCATGTCTGATGCCCTAGTACTGGTGTTCTGTTCTCGATCCAGATCGAAGAAGATGTGGTTTTCCCGCATTGCTTCTCTTATCTAATTTCATAAAAAAAAAAATCTCTGGCACCATATCTACATATATCGGCATTAATTGATATGTCAAATATGAGTTGATATTGTTACTACTGATACTGCTGCAATTTTGTTGTCTTGAAATTTTTTCAACCACATACGATAGACATGTGCATGTGGGCATTATACCTCAAACTGACCTTCCCTAATTATTTTGGTGCCTTCGCAGATATTTAGAGACTTTTTCTCTGGCTTTGAAGATATGGTTGATATTTTGCTGTATATCCGAGTTTTGTGGAAGAATACAAAATTATTCAATTATCAGTAGGGTCTCTATTCTGTTCATCAATGCCAAGACGCAGTGGCAACGGTTAATGTCGGATTGTGTAATTTTCATGTTGGCAAAGACTTCGACTAGCTCGTTCTCTATCTACGATATTTACAGATAATTCTCTACATGGGACGTTGCTGCTAGCGTAGACAACCCGACATATCTTTTTTTTTTTTGCTTTGCATCATTGCATGTGAGTGTTCTTCTATTCTGAGTGGACATGATGGTGATGTTTTCGCAAGTTGCAGACTCTTTTCAACTACTTGTCGAGTGACTTATGCCTTACTGTAAGCAGAAGAAAGGATCGATGGTAGGTGGGACTGATTAAGTGCATGAACAAGAACATATCAGCGAGATGTTAATCTGATTTTTAAGACATTTTAGATTTGATGATGGGGATGAGAATTTGTGAATGGCTTGAACCTTTGCAAAGGGCTATCAACTTTTGAGGATGTAATCAAACAAAAAACGTGGTCATTTTAAATTAGAATTGTGTCAGGGACATGCTTAAACATGTCCTATGATCCACGCAGGGATGTCGCGGTGCCGTATTCTCTTTGAACACTCACAGTCACTGCCAATTGTTTAACAGATCGGATCATCAAAAGTGTCAAACACACATTGGTGATCAGTGCATGAATATGATTTTCAAGCATGCTTCTTGGATTCAAAATTACTTATTTTTTTCACGGAACGCGATTGACCTACACCGCCTGGTTTTGATTACCAAAAAATATGAACGCCATATCCATACTATAAATTATCACATTGACGCCGATAAAATTTGAGACAAATCAAAATTCCAGAATATTCTCTCCTCTGGCTTTATATGTAGTGGAAATAAATAATACTGTAAAAAATATTATTAGTATATGAGCATTTAATATTGGCGAAACCAAGGTAGATGGATGGAGTGGACATGGGAGACCGAGTCGTCTTCTTTTCTTTTAACGCAAGAGGAAATGGTGTTATTGGCTTGAGCATTGCTCTAAGGGCTAAATCTCCTTTCACCCGGTTGCCTCCTCTGTTAGCTCATGCTTTGCACCTGTACCGTAAAGTGCTCCAGTCTTAACAAGGACTCTCCAGACTCTCTCTTTGTTTATTTATTTATTTTTTTACTGTCGTGTATACAAAATTCCTATTGTGATTCGGTGAAGGGATTTTAAAATTTTTCACGTCACAAAATTTGCATCAGTTTATCGAAGCGCTGCATCCAAAATTCACGTTGGTTTTGATTTCTTCATATATATGTACGCAAAAGTTGGAGGTGAAAAACTTGAGGGTATTTGAAAAATACTTTCATTATGTATTCCTTCGGTATTAGGTTACTGGAACCACCTAACTTTCTAGTCCCACGTACTTGGACCTAGAACATGCTACAATGTACATTAAACGAATAAGAGAGTCTTCACTGAATGACCCCGTTAGAGCTTGAAGGGTCAGGTAGATTTCGATTGCACGCAAAGGTCACCAAAAACTGGTTCATAGCAAACCGAAAATCCAGGAGAGCTGAGAGAGCAATACGTGGTTGAATGTACGCTCGATACATCCGGATTTCAAAGTGTACACATATTTCTGTTGGTTGAAGAGAGTTAATGCATAAATAGAGGCATGCTCGACGATGGCTCCAGTTCAAACAGCATTTAACGACGCACAGTTAATGGCTGGATGTATTGATGACAAATTGTTTACGTTACTAACCATGCATGCATTTAAGGACGCGCGTCATGTAATGTAAGAACGGTAATTATCGTGATATCTAACCATCATCGGTCTGATATTTTAGACATAATTTTTCTTTTTTTTTCTCTTTTGTTTAAACGACAAAAATCTGTGCCATTAGTGTTGGGGGCTGGTGCTTGATAATGGGGTTGAGGAAAAATCTATGGCATTGTCAAGAATGGGGTCAAAAGACCATATATTAAATTTTTTTTCTCAGCAAATAGAATTTTATTTACAAAATTATAAAATCAAGGTCAAAGTAAAATGTCTCGTTAAAAATT